TTTATCACAGAATATGATATAGGAAAATGCTTGACCTTTTTTGAAATGCACATCTGCCCTTTTACCCAAGAGTACTCGTGACAGTGTGTAGCTTAATGTTTAACGTGTTGAGAATATACGCTGTACTATCATGGTTCGTGTCATGCTGGGAATGCTGATGAGACCAGATTAGCTTAAGTTAAAAGTGCCATCCACTTCTGCCTGGATGAGATGAACTTTTGGGAAGCAAGACTATGTGAAATTTAACTACCAGTGTTTCATCGTTTAACCAAAATTGGGTGAATACATTTCATACATAGAATCTTTATTATTTCAGACATTTCTATTTTATAGAGGATGCTTGACCTTGTTTTCGCAACTTGGTCATATTGGCAGGGAGACTTAGAGGAGCGCACCTAGTCCGGAGTCCATTGTATGCATGATCACTTCCAAAATCGGACCGTCTTCCTACCAATATGACCAAGTTGCAAAAAAAAGGTCAAACAACCTCTATAAAACGAAAGGAGACTGCGACCACACAAAGGACTACACCAACTTGGTCTTTATATCTTCGGTTTCTATTTTATGTTTGTGTTGAATTATACTCAATTTGGCTTGCTTCTTAAAGGTATCCTCATCTAAAGCGGACTGCAGGTTCGTCCGCGCCTCGGTCCCAATAGGAATCGAGCCCGGTCTGTGCAGTCCGGCTTGGATAAGAGCACATTTTGCGAGACAAGGTTAAGTAAAATTCCGCCTACATACCTTATCGTAGGAAAATTCAATCACATGTTCTTCATCACCTTATGCGACATTAAATAAAAAGTTAACTTCCAGTTGTCCAAAATGACGGCTTTCACAAACGAATTGAGCACCATGCAATGAGTTGTAGTACCTCTGGCTTCACCAACCGTTTTCACAAACACACTTATACATGTGAAGTTGTGGCATGTGTTTGTTGGAGAAAACTTGATTTCTAATGGAAGTGCGCGAAGAAGAGATTCCGAGGTTGCTCTCATCGGAAGACGACGGCTGATTCCATTTTAACTGCAGCCGTTTGGCTTTAATATGACGTTACTGTTGCCGCAGTTCACGAAACATTCTCCATCGTTTCGGGCGAAGATGAGCTGACCTCTCGTCCATCATTTGATCGACATCATCAGAGCTGCGATTCATTATGACAAAAGTCGCCAGATATCACTTGTTCGTATTAAAACCAAACGGCAGCAGTAAAACGGGCTTCAGTCGGCGTCTTCTGGTGGGAGCAAACTATGAATTTCTTCTTCATGCACATTCATACGAATGAAGGTCTACTCAAAAATGTCATGGCGGGAGATTTATCAAAATTCACTTACTCTTTGCATCTACAATGTGGTATGTAGTATGACACAAAGTGGTGATTTAGGCTTCCTGTATGTCTCGTTTCATCGAATTTAAGCTATTTTGTGTTTTTTTTAATGTTTTAACGCAGACAAAGTTTGCAAGGCCACGAGCACAAAATGCCGGGCATCTCAACTGCCCCCAGAAGCATGCAGAATGAATCTTGCTCCAGCACAATTTTGCCGAGCAACGGTGCTAGCGGCCATTTGGGCGTCCGGTCGCCGGTCAACGGCACTGCAGACAGCCTCTCCAGCCTCCCTTCCGCCTCCAGCAGCGCATCCTCCCTCCTCACCTCCGACACCAGCCTCGAGGCCGCTTTTCTGGCCTATCACGACGCCCATCCCGAGCAGACGCAACGCCATCGGCACAAACAGTCCGGCCCAGCCCAACCGGCCCATTTGGCCTATCCCCAGCAGATTTGTCTGTCCGGCGACACCTCGGACCCCAGCAACCCGTACGTCTGTCTTGCCTCCTCGGCAACTCTCGCCTCTCCGCACTACATCACAACATCGCATCACATGCAACCGCTACAGTTGGCCTCACCCACCGGTCAGCATCCCTCGCCGTTGCCACGCGACTCCATCGCCTACACCGCTTATTCGGGCATGTCACAGGCCTCTTCGCATCATCTGCTCCCCGACGACCAGTTTGCCGCCACGGCCGGCTCGAACCCGGCCGGCGGCGCAACCCACTCGAACGGCGCCGGCCAACAGCACTCCAGCCTCGCCTACCTCACCAACCCGACCTACACCTCGTCCGCCCCCCTCGTCAGCCATCCCCAACTCAATCCCCACCTGCACCACCCACACCTACACTCCCACCCACCGCCACCG